CAAGTTGAGATGCGGCAACGTGAGTGGAGCACCCAACGAGACTCCACTAAGGAAAAACTAGCTTTGCTTTACTCTCTTCTCGTTGGATTACCGCCATGATGCAAGAACTTTATGAGCAACTACGCCCTGGTATCTGCATTCCTTTTTTGCCCGCAGAGACGGACAAACAACCGGTGATGAAGAGCATAAACCACAAGCACAACAAGACAGGAATATTATAGATAGGGTGAGGGGGGGATATTTGTAGAAAACTCAATGTGCCGCGAACAAGGGCCTCAAATGCACATAAGAAAACAATATTGTGGTGCTGATGAAGTTCAACATACTAAATAAATACCCGTACGTCGTAGTGTAGGCTCCACGATCACCATTTGGAAAATAATGCTGGAGCTGCAACGCCACGTACATGAAACAATAGTGGCAACATAAACAACATTTTTGACAAATAATCCAGCGGAGCAAACTTGTTGGAGAAGGACAGTCCATGATATCAAGGCGTTCTCATTGTTCATGGTTGGACAAAAGGCAAACATAGAACCAAAAAGTTGAAAGGGCCAAGGACAAATTTTCAAAACCGTCCCATTTCAGCTTTTATTTGCAAAAAACGATCTGTTTCTAGGATATTAATTTGCAAAAACCGACCTGGTTTCAGCCTCAGCGCTCAAACCAGGTCGGTTTTTGAAAAAAAGTTTCTGAAACCTCACGGGAGTTGAACTCCCGTGAAGTTTAGCAGCTTTTAATTAAACTGTTAAACTTCACGGGAGTTCAACTCCAGTGAAGTTTCACAGTTCAATTAAAAAAATTGAATTGTGAAACTTCACGGGAGTTGAACTCCCGTGAAGTTTAGCAGCTTAATTAAAAGCTGCTAAACTTCACGGGAGTTCAACTCCCGTGAAGTTTCGGAAACTTTTTTTCAAAAACCGACCTGGTTTCAGCGCTGAGGCTGAAACCAGGTCGGTTTTTACAAATATTTTGAAAATGGGTTGTTTTTTACAAATAAAAAATCAAAAAGGTCTCTTTTGAAAATTTGTCCAAAGGGCCAACCTTTCCACTCCACGAGTGAATTTAAAAAAAAAATTATCACCATTTCCCTAGAGACGCGCGCGTATATGAAATTTAAAAACCTGGAGACTTAGCCAGGCATAAATTCAGATCATAGCATGGACTTCTACCCTTGAATTCATCTGATTTTTCCCAAAATATTTAGATACCGTTAAGTTAGCATCATGACATAGAGCCCAATAAAACAGTCGCTTTACATTCATCAGTTATGAATGGAATGTACAAACATATCATTTTTGCTCGATTATTGCATACGACCATGGAAGCAATATTGTCGACTTCATAGCAGTCATTTCACATTAAAGGTTGAATCCACAGATACATTAAACCTTTAAAAGAATACAAAACATTAATATTTAAAAATAAAATGAAAGACAAGTTATTCATTCAGAGTTTAAAGGCAAAATTTGGACCAAATCAATGTGTTCCAGGTTGTTAACCAAACTTTGTACAGCAATAATGACGTGAGAACAAACTACCGCTGAACTCTGATCGGTCACGGAATTCTTGCAGCTCTTAGACCCAAATAGAAGTACTAATCATTATAGAGGAATCTGAGGAGCGTTTGTAAAGCATGAGATCTACCACAAAATAGAGACTTCCAACCATAGTTGCACAATACGTGGTACGTAGCTGGTCACGGTACGAATTCGGGTACGCAATTCGTCACTTGGAAAATTTAGAATCATGAGAGGATAGCTTGCTTCGGTATGCAAGTTCGGTGAGTGCACTTCAAGTTTTCCAAAGTACATATTAGAAAACTGGAAAGCTAATTATGAATTGTGATATATTTTCATATAAAATACTTAAATACTTCTTTTTGATGGAGTATGTTTGTTTCTTTCTTTCTTATGTTTTTTTTTTCATTTACACAGAGCTCATTTTAGGATCATGATTTCGTTTTACATTTAATTAACATACACGTTTAGTTACATAAAAGTTATTGTGTCATATGCTCTATTTTGTGTCTCCCTTCACTTGCTGCATTGCATTTTGCGCAGCTGCACTTAAAGAGACTTAGCATCTAACATATTTGTAAATGGTACGTCAATTTTAGGGAACCGGTTCGTGTATCGGAGATAATCAATTCGCAGAAACTGTACGACGATTCCGTGGGGGTGGGGGCGGGGGAGTTGGGGAATCGTGCAACGATGCTTCCAACCCTATACAGCCTATACTAAATTTGCGAAGTTCAGTATGTATTCCTATTAGAATCTAGAACTCAAAAGAAAATTGTTTACGCTGCTATCTATAAGCCTTTTCTGCAATGATATCTGGTTCTCGAGTTGGACAAAAAGTTCTGATCACCGCCATTATTTGACATACCACTTTTTAAGCTACTGCAGAATGAATTGGGAGCATCAAAAGGATGAGGAGATCAAAACAGTCAAAATTTCCACTAAGCCACAGCAAGCATCGTGCATCTCCTCAACCCCCACAAATACGGGACGGGGATATCACTTGAACTGCAAATGTAACAAGACTGATGAAAGTCCCACAGAGTGGTTTAAGCATTTATGAAGAAAAAAAAAACGATGCAACTCATAAAGCAATCACTAACACTGGAAACATTAGACTGACATCACTACTCGATGGAGTAGAACAGAAAGAAAATCCTCTACACACACACACACACTGACATCACCACTTGATGGAGTAGAACACAAAGAAATTCCTATACATACATACTTTGGCATGATGTCAGAAGAGTAAGTCAACTGTGAAGACCTGATATCAATACCCCCTGAAAGAAGCAAAGGAAAGATGCATTCCAAAAAACCTCTAGTCGAGATTCTTGTACAGCCTTTGACATAATAATAACAACATTCAAGTGATTCAAGACACTACAGAACTCTCACAAATCCTAACCAACGAAAGTGGATTATCCTAACCCACAAGAGTAAGGGGAATTACTTGTTATGTAATTCAAGGAAAAACATTGTGCCTGGGCTTGTAGGTTTAGATAAGATACTACTCTTCTTTTTTATGACAGTACCCTTCAACATTAAAGGTCTTCTTTTGATAAAAAATTTGCATATACATCCTTGTACCATGTGTTGAGGGAGACCCTTGGTGCAACAGTAAGGTTGTTGTCTTGTGACTTGGAGATCATGGTTTGAATCTCGGAAACAGCCTCTCCGCATGCGGGGTTAAGGCTGCGTACATCTGACTATCTCTAGGGCCCACAATGGTAGAAGCCTCGTGCACTGAGCCACCCTTATTCTTGTACCTCGTGTTACTTCATTCTTGCTCCAGTAAATAGCTCTGCAAACTAGTCAACATGGAAACAGGCTTCATTCCTTAATGGACTTGTCGATTCAATTAGCAACGGTAGTCTAGGAATCATAGAAACAAAACATGGCCTGGGTACAACATGACAATATGCCAATGACAAAACAAAGAAAAGTATACACAAACAGAAACATCGATCATGGTAAAAGTATCGTGTCAGATGTCTACCAAATACATTGCTTCACTGTAGCGGCAGCCGCGTTTTACATGTAGCATAGATGAAAAAGTGTAAACATGTTCAGAACTCTATATTGCAGAAAAATTTATCATTAGAATTAGTGAATAGTATCAGAAGAGGTATGACGTGACTGAAGCCCATCTAAGGAGAAATATCAATGTAACCACTAGTGTATGGGCATTTCCCGGCCCAATATGTGAGAGAGGTTCAGGAGTCTGATTTAGCAAATCTATATACACAGATAACAAAAAAGACAAGACCAATTCATATTCTCATCAAAATAAACGAGTCAATGAATTTCATAACCTTGATCCTGTATCCTGAGTACCAAGATTTAGCTCAAATATGATGCACACTTCAGAATTGTAAAGATACAATAAAACAAGCATATCCATAATTTCTTCTGTAAAAGAAATACTCTTCCTAATAAAAATTAATCAACTGCAACCAGATTGGAATATTTAATTCTTTTGGCTGGATATAACATAGATTGGAAAATATAGAATTTTCCATTATATGTTGGTTATCATAGAATGGAAAACACTGTAACTATAATTCTCTCGCTCAAGAGGTAGGTACGTTCGCGCATTAGACATTACAGTAAATCTCAAAACTTTTTCTTGAAATATCATAGCATGGATTGTGGAGATCGATATTGTACAGTTTCTTAAGAAGAAGGAACTTCTTTCTTCTTTTACTAATTACATTCCCTTTACAAATCAGCTAAAAACAGATGGATTGCAATAGATACATTTACAAACGTTTAATGACCTTAACTAGCAACAATAATCACTCAGCAAAAGCCTGAAAGAAGTCCAGTCTTCAACAACTCAGAGTTTGTCATCAATGTGGGGCAATGACGTTACAAACCAACATTTGACAGAAATGCAAAGAGGAAAAAGAGGATAAATTATGAATATATGCAATCATACAGACATCCAACATTTTGGATTTCTTGAAACATTAGCACTTGCCATCCTAAAATCCATTTCTTTAAATCTAATATATTAATGTTGTCTAACATCAACCTATGGGATGGATCAAATAGCTGACAAACTATAGCCCTTCTGATGTTCTACACCTCAGTGCGACTGTATTATGTGCTCCTTATGTGCACATGACAAGAGGCACTAGTGAACAGTGAACAGGTCATAGATTTATCAAACAAATAAATTAGTAATAATGCTCCTGGGCAAATACCAGATCACTTTCATAATAAAAAAATATTATATAAATCAAACTCCTTAAGAAAGCAGTAAGTATATCCTCATCAAGCCCAAGAAAACCCAAAATACTTTTTTCTTTCTTTTTTATAGCCAACATACTCTACGTACGGACTACTTGCAGGAGCACAAAACCTGTTTACACGCTAATTTTATCATAAACAAGTCCACAATCAAAATAAGTATCTTCAATCCATTGCAGGAGCAGATCATAAAATTATGAAACTAGTAGATCAATAATAATGATCCTAGGGAAATAGCAGAACGCATTCATAATTCCAAAAAAAAGATCATGAAAATCAAACTCCTTAGTAGTGCCTAAGAATATCCTAATCAGCCCCAGTCAACCCCCTAAGGCAGTTGTTTTTCTTTTTCTAGCCAACACGTTCCATACATCACAACTTGAAAGGAAAAAGGATTCTATCAGAACACCACATAGAAAGGGTTAATCTATACCAATCATGGGAGGTTAGAGTGTTAGTTTGGTAATTCTCACTATCCTATCAATGGTGGAAATCACCTCACTCCTATTCTGATAGGATCCCTACTGCTTGAAAGAGCACAAAACCTTTTTACCTTGCAATCCTACCATAAATAAGTTCACTATTTAAAATAAGTATCAAAATAAGAGCACAAAACCTTTTTACCCTTGCAGCCATTACCATACATATATTTCCCATGCACTTTATCCTTCTACGTAGAGATGCCTCCTCTGGCTAGTGCCCAATTTAAACATGTCAAACACCAATCTATATCCCCAAAACCTTCCAAGAACATTTCCCATCAGCAAGTAAACCATTTTCCCATAACCAGAAGTAGAATAAATTATTACCAAAGTATGTCGGATGTAAAAAAAAAATTCAAATGTCTGAAGTTTGGTGTTCTTTTCACTTTCCTCTTTTTCCAAAAAGTTTATAGGAGCACACAAACAATTTCTAGAAAGAACAAGCATTGAAACTGAAGATACTTATGATTTCAAAACTAAAAGTTACAAAATCAATTACTCATCATATCTAACAGCTAGAAGCCGATCATAGAATGCATATAAAAAGGCTATCAAGCATAGTTTACCTTTTCTTCCTTAGCATAAGGTTAACATTATAAGCCACTTATGTTATTCAAACTTACACTCTTCAACTTTATTTACATGTATATTTGGGTAAAGTTTAACTGTTTTGAGCAGTACGAGCAGGAAAAACCTTACATACTTAAACTTGTCACTGCAGCAAAACCAAATGTTGTGTCACATTGGTATCCAAAATCTTGATGCCGGCCATCACGTGCATGCAAAGGGCAAAGCATATCGTGACAATAAGCATCGATCTAGCACTCACATACCTCATCACTTCAAACCCCCTCTCGATTACCTCTTCATGAACAATATTTGAAGCTCGTTTGACACCATCATAAGTTTTCAACATTACAAATTCGAGAAACGATTTCACCGTCTCAAACGTCACTCTCCCCGTCACATCAAGAACAAGCCTCCTGTTCCTTGGAACCGCCATTGTCGATGAAACCTGATTGACCCACCTCCCAATCTCCTTAATCCTCTCATCAGAAGACCCACCTCTCCTGGGTAATGTTTGGTCCTCTTGATTGGAAGTGGTCAGCACCTGATGCGAAGTCTTAACAAGGGTTTCGACAGCGCCATTACAGACCGATACCAAGAAATCCTTCACCTTGACTTCGTGCCTCGGGTTCGTAAGCCCCGAAAAGAACTCGTCATATGTGTTGACCTCCATTGTCTTGTCGAGGTAAACTGCAACCGCATTGCTGACAAACACCCGAATGCACTCAGCAATCGTATCTCTACACTTATCATCACAGATCAAGTCAATCCACTTCGATCCAGATGACGAAGAAGTCTCATCACTCTGATCGCCAGTTGAGTAGAAACCCAGCACGAGATTCTTCGCAAAGCTGCCGGCTACAATCGACACAAACCCTGAGCCAGCATTCGAGAACAACTTGTCAAGAAGCTTATCAGAGAATCCTGGTCCGGATTCGGGCCCTGAAACCGATCCGAAACCTTTCGAGAGACCGACTGTCAGAGCTTCGGAAAACCTACAAATTGAGCCGGAGAAGTCATCAGATCGAGCAAGCTTCGAAATTTGCTTCAGACTGTTTGGGATCTCGTCGGAATTCGATCGGAGGAAGCCATTGAGATCGGTGAGGAGAAGGTTCACGGTGTCGGCGGAAGAGGTGACTGCATCAGAGACGGAGATTATGGTTTTGAGGAGAGAAGCGAGTTTATTGCGTTTGGATGAGATTGACGGGTGGTGATATAGCTTGTAGGCGCCGTAGAAGGAGACACCGGCGGCGGCGATGAAGAGGAGATGCTTTCGCCGGCGCCGGAGAAGATCGAGAGACATCGGAGAACTGGGGATTGAATTAGGGTTTGAGAATAGGGGATAGATATGAAACTATGGGAGCTTGGGATATTGGGAATTGGGATTTTGTTCCCGGGAAGATAAACATGAACGAGGAATTCGGAAATAAGGGCAATTTCGTACACTACTAAAAAGAGGATTTTCTTTTTCTTGTTTTCATTTTCCCCCCTTAAGATGTGTGTAAAATCCTCAATATTAAACATTTATATCCTAAAAATTTCAGTTAAATTTTTTAATGACAATTTACCCCTTTTTCATAATTGTTCTTACCAAGCAAGATTGTTCGTCTTCAAGGAGACGAATATGTTTGAAATGGTAACTTCGAATTCTCAATGTTAATGTATGACTTTATGTTATCTGATGTCGGACGGGATTTTCTTAGAACAGAAAGACAAGGTAACGATTAATGTTCATCTTTTATGTCAGAACAAGGGAGAAATTAGTATACAGAGATACAACAAATTCCATGTATATTTGCACTTTTGCAACCAGACACCCACACACGCATATGAAGAATGCATGCACTTGGACTAGCAAAACACGAAGCGATCATGCATTCTCTAAGTTTCTTGTACCACTTTCCATGTTACATTTACACAAGGCACTTACTTTGAAAACCAAGGCATTAGGCTAAACATGTGCTAAACATGTCATTAGGCTCTTAACTAGTTCTTCATGATTTCCTTAGTTTATGTGATTACTATTTAATCGAATTCCTTCATTGTAGAACTAGTTGCCAAGTTACTGACCTTCTGCGTAATTTGCAATTACTTGTTCGGTTAATGCATGATCTGATGAGCCATCCTGCGGATGATTTTACCTTATTTGTCTCAATTTATATCTGTAGCTTACGGTTCCAAGTACCCAAATCAATTATTAAGTACATCTTCTTGGGTTTTTATTCCGTTGTTGCTGGTGCTAGAAGCAAAAACTAAGACTCATGCTGAGCCGTAGGGTGTTGCAATCATTTAAAAACTAGACCAGATTTAATCATGACTCGCTTTATTTTAAATCACATTAGAGTAGGATCAAGGAGGAGGCGGTTCAACAGCAACTTGATTTATGACCTCTTTTTGGTCTAAGAAGAACTTGGCCAAAACTGACACAATTTTACCAAAAAAAACAAAATTGGGGAAGGGTCAATGTTGATGTAGTTTTTAAGAGTTTGCAGAACACACTCTTAATTCTCACCTCTAGCACTAGCAGTAGCAGAGGCAACTCGTCTTATTTAATATATTTGTTCATCGATCATATAACAACTGACATAGCCATGATAATACCTCTCTTTCATCCTAGTTCTCCAATTATTCCAGTTCTACTTGAAAATTTTTGATTGACTAAGTACTCCCTCTTATAGCGTTGGGTTTTGACTTATTAGCCATTCCATCGTTCTTATGCATTGTAGTATTTGTTGATAATTCATATTTACTAGAGTTAAAAAGTTTTCCAAAACATGGGCTAAGTTTCAAACTACATTTATATATTTTTATAACAAAAATACATTGTAGCCTAGTGGTTAAAATCTTTTTGAAATCTTTTTGAATAAGACATAAGTCACAGGTTCTGGGCTTAACCAACATATTTAATCTAATAATTCCTATAAGTTTAAACATGGACTTGGTTGGGTTTGGGTTATAGATTGAGGCTAATTGGGTTGAGATGCTATGATGGTGCAATGGATGTCTTATAGGTGCACTTTGCACTTAGCACATAATGGGCTCATTAAACAAATCAGTTAATGGTGCAGTGGGCTAAGTGGGTGTAACTAACATGACCTTCGGGTTGCTCTCATTAATAGGCTAACAACTTTTTAAGCTGGTTTAGAGACCTATATAAAGCCACTTACTCAACAAAAGAAGACACAAGCTCTCTCACCCATCCTCTAAAAATTGCAATACCTGTTTGAGTCCAATTTTTACGCCAGACCGAGGAAGTCATAGTTCAAAGTTAGATCAAGGAGGCCATCATGTGCCTAAAGTTGATCAAGGTGATCGTGGAGCATTTGGTTGGTGCATAGCATTACACTTAAGCTATTGTTCCTAGAAGCAATTTCGATTTGAGATCCTTACACTGGAGTAGGCTAGATATTGCTTTAAGTTTAGCATTTTACAATGCACAGGGACTCAAGCTAGTTTTGACAGTAAATATTTCAAGAAAGTTCATATTTCCTATTGATATGAGCACAAAAACATGCACAAAAAGAGGAACAACTATTAAGTTATAGTGTAAAAAAGATGTCGAACCTAAAAGGAAAGTGTGTGTTTAAAATTCCTAAAATTGGTACTAGAAATGTGTGGACAAAAAGGAGTGAAATAAAATGTGTAGAGATGAGCAGAGAGTGATTTGTCACCAAAAAAATGATAACAAGAGATAAGAAGGAAGGAGGAAAAAAATAAAATACACAAAAATAAAACTAAAAGAAAAATAGAAACAGAGATAGGATTAAGAAAAGATTGGCAAGGGTTTTTAAATGAACATGAATACAGCCTCTT